CCGCGGAAGTTATCACCGATTGTGCAGTTAACAAGTTGTGGGATCATGCACGATTATTAGCGAGAATGAAAGTAGAAAAATGTATGTCCACATCATAGACAATTAACTGATTAGCGTTATTTAATTTTGAGTGATTAATCATTTCAAGAACTTTTTCATTGATAATTCTTCTATTCGATGTAATGAAGGAATTATCAATGTTAAAGAATAAAGTTATATAACTATTTCATAATTTTATCATGGCTTGATGGTTTAATGAACACTGTAATTGCAGTAACGTCGATGAATTGCTAAAGTTATAAATTGATATTATAACCTTAATTAAAATTATAGACTTATAACTCTAATTAGTAATTTGCAATAAATCGACAAACTGATAAGAGTGTATTTCAGCTCAACATGTATGGAAGGATATTTGCTTAGGGGAAGAAATTGTTGTTCTTTGTGAGAAACAGATTTGATAAATTAAAATTAGTATTCTATAAGTGCGGCAAACAATAAAGATTAATGATTATTTGCTATTTGCTAATTTATTCTGTTGAAAAAAATTTTTATTTTTTGTTGAAAAAATTCCTCATCTATATTTAAACTTTGACCTGATATTATTATGAAAATAGCAATATGTTGAAATGAAATGCACTCTTGAATGAATCAGTCTGCAAGTAGACTGCATATTGTTATGTTTAATAATTAGAACTATCATAATTGTGGGTTCAGCTACACATATATAATATATTGATAGATAGATTAGATAATTGAATTTTCAATTAGGACTTTGAGAATTTAAGAAATTTCATTGCAAAAATTGCCATCAGAAAAGCAAAAATAAATCTGTCCCAAATATATAGAAATCGTTAAATCACTCATCACCTACAATAAACATCTAATTGATTATCATTGTACGATTTTTGCTTTGTAATCTATCCTTTCATCATCCGACATAATCAACCAATTTGCAGAGTTTCATTTATTATCTGCTATATTTATTAACTTAACTCTTCCAACTTTTGATCTTGCCAAAATACTTTATTCAGCTATAGGCAATTAAATTCAATCATATTGCTTAAATCTGTCATTTTCAACTGATCAATTTACCTGTCATTTATTTTATCTATAAAAACAATTGCTAGCTTGATAGCTAGCTGCTAGTGTTATAATAAATTTTGAGGTGATAAAATTCAAGCACCTAATATCCTGTTAGATTTATGAGATGTTGACAATGACAATTGCAGACGGTGGCGTCATTAATGTTCGTCAGCAAATTTTATAAATATCAATGGTGAAGCAAATATTTCTCTTGTAGTATATTTTTTATCACGTTACTATCGATTATTTAATATGATAGAAAAGTATGAAAAGCGTGCAAAAAAACATATCATTGAATTCACGGAGGGTGAAACTGCCACAAACTGTTTACTTCTTTCGAGCAATGAGGCAGCATTTCAAAAAATATTCATTTTAAGTCGAATAGGAGGAGAAGATCGAAGTTTCGACATATTTCGGCAGCAACTACGTGATGGCACAATATTCTCTTCCTGAGGGAAATCTTCGACAATTTCAGTTTAGCATTTGTTTCATCCGTATACTTACTAATGCTATAATATAACAAGTGAATGGGAAAATAGTGCAGGAGAATTACTGAGAATTAATGATTGAGGAAATTGCATTATAATTTTCCATTCCATCTCTTTACAATTCTTTGATTTCATCTCAAATTGTATGAAATTGAGAAGATACAAGTAATAGGGAAATGAAAATCGAAATTTGTTTTATCAAATTGAGAAAATCATAATTACCTGTTGTGCTTTCCATTAGAGATGATGAGAGATTACCTTTATGTTTATTGGAATTTCATAAGTTCATTTTATGTTAACCAATATTTCTATATAAATTAATAATTAAATATAATGCTAATTTTAAGCGTAAATATCATATCAGAAATTTTTTTGCAAAAATTACAAACAAAAAAAATTCAACAAAAATAAAAAACTATTAATATTATTATCAATGTTGTTATTAATAATAATCAGCAAGTACTAATTAAAATTGCATTTTTTTTTTAATGAGACAAGGTAATAGGATAAGAACATTAATATTATTATCAGTGTTGTTATTAATAATAATAAGGAAGTAATAATTAAAATTGTCTTTTTTAATGAGACAAGGTGATAGGATAAGAACATTAATATTATTATCAGTGTTGTTATTAATAATAATAAGGAAGTAATAATTAAAATTGTCTTTTTTAATGAGACAAGGTGATAGAATAAGAACATTAATATTATTATCAGTGTTGTTATTAATAATAATAAGGAAGTAATAATTAAAATTGCCTTTTTTTTTTAATGAGACAAGGTGATCGAATAAAAATAAATTCGTTTTTTGAAGTTGAAATTTTAAAATTTCATATATTTTTGTCATTTCATCATGATGCAATATATTACGTTGCAATATTTCGATTTTTGATCTTTCATTGTTAAAATCGTTAAAAAATGACGCATACAATATTGAAACAATTAACTAATACTAACTATATTGTGATGTAAAATTTATACATTTTAATAGAAATATTCTCTTTGTTTTTAAATCAAATTATGTTAAGAAAGGAAATTTAATATGCAATTGTTGAAAATAATCAAAATATTATTTTTTATTATTTACGTATAATAAATTTTAATCAATAATGATATGATAAATTATTACTATCATATCATTTTAATGTTACTATTCGCTAATATGATACTATTCGCTAATGTTACTATTTGGTGATGTTACTATTCGCTAATGTAACTATTCGCTGATATGTTACTATTCGCTAATATGTTACTATTCGCTAATATGGTACTATTCGCTAATGTTACTATTCGCTATTCGCTAATATCTTACTATTCGCTAATAAATTGATTAGTAAAAGTGATTAAATACTATATCATCCCGTTATCATTATTATTATTAGTTAATAAAGCAGAATAAAAAGTTTTTTCCCTAATTTTTTGCTCTCATCTATTACTATAACTTGATCATCCAATAAAATCACGTGATGCAAAAAAATATTCGACACAATGATCATTTGTATCAGATCAAAGATTTGCATCTATTAGTATTATAATATGATTAATCGAAAATAATTCAATCAATAGTTAATGATAAATGATGATAATATAATTTATTCTTATCAAACTAAACTTTCAATTTTCATCAATTTCATTCGTTTAATTCTTTGTTTCCTCCATTTAACACATAAGTCTATTAATTTGAACATTTTAAAATTATCAAATTACACTATTTGTAGAACAGAAAAAAAAGATAAAAATATTTGTTGAATCACTAACAACTGTCTATTAACATTATTATCAAAAATATTTGCTTCATTTTTCTTTCCCATTTTTCTTTTTCGATTTTTATTTGTGATAAGAAAAATGAAAATTTAGAGAAACGAGCGATGATGAACGAGCGATGTTGGATTAGTTAGAAATTGTTTTTGAATAAAATTTAAACTAATAACAACAAGTTGTTTAACTATCATTTCATTATATATGTTTTTTTATTTTTTTGTTCTAATCATTCTATTTGCTTTTCTCTTTTATTTCTTTTATCATTTTTAATAGTAATATTTAAATTTAATTCTTTTATTCTTTTCTAATTATATTTCTTCTAATAATTTCACTATTTCATTTTATTTTTAAATTTAAAATAATTGAAATAAACGCGAGTTGTACGCTATGCAATAAATATGATTTAGAATTAAATTATAATTGTTAATTTAAAATTAAATTATAATTACTTATATTAAAGTTAAACGTTACAAATAAAATGTAAATTCAGACATTAAATGATAATTTTAAAAACAATTTATTATTAGGGATATATGAAAAATTTTCTTATTAATCATTATTTATCGAATTTCACCAGCTAGAATTGGAGGTTGTCAATATTTTATCACTTTTAAAAATCAATTTATCATTTTGATAAACAAAAACGCTTCCATTGAAAGTTTATTGATAATTAATCTTTAATCTCACTAAATAGTAAATTAATAATTTTAGTAAATCTCTAATCTTACTGAATAGTAAAGTAGTAAAATAGTAATTAGTAAATTAGTATGACTATTTTTGATTATCTTTTTCAGATTTCTTTCTGAATTTAATTAAAAAAAATTTAGCAATTATAGGAAATAATTTTAGTCGAAATATTACAAAATGATATATGTGTTAGTGATAAAAGTAAAATTTATCTTTTTTGTTATTGTTTTAATAATAATTAATAATAATTGTTTTTTTCAGTTTTTTAAAATTCAATTTCAGTCATTAATAATAATTGTTTTTGCAATTTTCTTTTAAATTCAATTTCAGTATAACAACATTTAGGTAATGTTATTTAATCGAATAACAAACTCGTTTTTTGTTTACTATGGTAGCGGAATTCAATCACAAAGGATATCGTCCTTCACACACCTGTATTCTTTCACTAAAAGCATTCGTATCCATCGTTGCTATACAATTGTTAACATAGAACGATCAAAAATTTTTAACTGTATGGTAAATTTGAATCGAAATGTGGCAACAACAACAAGTACAGATGATAAAATTGTACCTGTTCAGGAAGTGAGTATGTTTTTTTTTTTAAAAAACAAAAAATTAATTTCAAAATTTCTGCAAAAATTTTGATAACTCTTTTATATTAATTAGTTTTATATTAATTAGCAAAAATTGTAAACATATCAAATGTAATAAAATAGAATTAATAATTGGAAATTTGCTCCTAATTTACTGTTGAAAATATTCATTTGCAAAATGCAGAAAATGTTGAAAAACAAAAAACAACAAAAAAACAATAGCAAATGTTGGAAAAATTAAGAAATTAAAAAGAAATAAATTCTTAATCAGATATTAATATCATCATTATTCGTGATATTTTCGAATTGTGATATTTTCGAGTTATCATTATTGTGATATTTTCGTAGTAATCTCTCACTGATATAACTTTAGGTAACAAGATATATGGTGGATTGTATGATAAAAGCAGGTACATCAAAAAATCATGCTCAACAATTAGCCAATGTTTTGGTAGCAGCTGATATACAAGGACATTATAGTCATGGATTAAATCGATTAGGTTTATAAAATAAATATCTTTTACATCATCTATTAGTACTAATAAATTTATTTAAATTAGATTTTAGAATAAAGTTGCGAAGGTATTAAGTTTTAATTACGAAGGTATAAAGTTTTAATTATTAATTCTTTCGATATATGAAATGTTTTATAATTCGTTTCAATTATTATTCTTCCTTGAATGTTTTAATAAGTTGGACAAAAAGGTTTATTTTAATGGAAATTTTTATTTTTAAATATTGGAATGAAAACAAAAGATGACTCATACCCCTTCTTTCTCTCAATTTAATTTTCTATTTTTCCTTATTGATAAAATTTAGAAATGAGATCATATGAGAATTAGAGAATTATTCGGGAAGATGAAAAGGAATATTAAATCATAATAAATAATATTTGTAATTTTTACGTTTATGAATTACAGCGCAAAATATTTTTTAGATATGTACGTTCGAGATATAATGGAAGGTATATGCATGAAAGATGGCACTCCGAAAATTCTAAAAGAGAATGCTGCAAGCGCATGGGTTGATGGAAATAATTTACTTGGTCCAGTGGTTGGAAATTTTTGCATGGATATAGCAATTAAAAAAGCTAAACAAGCAGGTGTTGGTTGGGTGGTTGCTAAAGGTATGTATGCTAAGTTAAAATAATTTTAATAAATTTTAAATTCGTTCGATGTTTATTAAGATATGAAGCTGTTGAAATGAAAATTTTTCTTATAGAATTTCATTTTTCCGAAATATCTATATAGTAAAATCTATTGAATTTTTTAAATTATATGCAAATTAATTCAATTTTTTATTTTTGATATGACGGTAATATTGAAATAGTATTTTCACTCAAATTGAGATAATTAAATTTTATTAATAATTATTGATTTTGGAATAAAATTTGCATTTTCCTTTTTTGCTTTTTACTTTGTCATTTGTCGTATGAAGTGAGAAATAAAATCACCGATTGAATATCGTAAAATTGTAATTAACTTTGTTAGAATTCAGTGGATTCATCAATATTGAATTTTGCTAAAAGCATCGTAATCCTAATTTTATCCTCAGGCCTAGTTTTGGTTGTATAAATTCAATGAGGCCTAGCTTTGGTTGCACTTTTGTTTTGTGATTTTCTACACGTTTTATAAACTTTCAAAAAATTCATTTATTTACTCTGACAATTGCGATTTTACTTTGCTTTATTATTTCTGAAATTTTTGAAAACTTCTGCAACTCTTTGATTTCTTTATTAAATTATTCACTTTGAAAATGAATTAGTCGCTAAAATTGAACAAATATGCAAAATGCATTAATGAAATTTTCATCAAACATTAATTAATTAATTTGTTTACTTTGTTGCTAATTTTTTAATTGGAAAAAATTAATTGATTAAAATTACGCCTGAAATTATTAAATCATTACTTAATTAGTACTCTAATTTTTTATTATAAATATTGCAATCAATTTTAAATAATTCTATTCTTAAATTTTAATTAACAATAATATCTGAAAAAAGAGACGATCATATTCCATTTAATTTCACTGTTTTCTTCCCCTTTTATTTAAGGTCGAAAATTAAGCCTTAATAACTTTACTTATTTAATAATTTACTTTATCATATATTTTGAAATATTGCAGGATCAAATCATTTCGGAATTGCCGGATGGTACAGTAGACGTGCAATGAATGAAGGACTTTTGGTAATTATAATACTTTTTATCTTCAGGTATATCATACGGAAATTAAGTTGCATAAAATTAATTTCATCCTTCGAATTCTCAGCTTTTTCTGCATATGTAATCCTCCAATAGCAATAAGTGATAAGAAAAACAATGATACAAGTTTGAGCTATCATATGAATTAATTCTATGTCAAAAGATCCTGCGAATATAATTTTCTAATTTAAACAGATTTTTAAAATATAATTAAGGGTATGGCATTTACAAATACATCACCGATCATGTATCCGACTAGATCAAGTTCAGCGGCACTTGGAACAAATCCTATAACATTTGCTGCTAAAGCTAAAAATGATACTTTTGTACTTGATATGGCTACAACTACTGCTGCTATTGGAAAGGTTTGTTATTATTACGCCTTTATCATTATTGCTATTAATGCTTTTATTATCAAATTATTAGCATTATTATCAGTTGCGTTTATGAATCATTATTCATCACGTTTATCAAATTAAATTTGAAGAATTGAAAATTTAACAATAATTTGTCTTATTGATAAAATGTAAAAACTTGAAATTTTATTTTGAAAAATTTCAGGTTGAGATAGCAGCCCGAAAAGAACAAACTGTTCCAGATACATGGGGTGTTAAGAAAAACGGTCATGTTAGTAATAATCCTGCGGAAATATTAAGTGGTGGTGGTCTTTTACCTCTTGGTGGAACTGAATCAACCGGTAAGTTATCTGAATGGTAGCACTAAGTCCCTGGATAAGTTATCCGTTTATTGCAAATAAGTTGGCTTGTAATCATTTATCTTACTTCTAAGCATTGTTATTGATCCATAGCTAATATCATATAAAGAAAGGCTTCTTTTTTTAATAAATAAATTCTTAATTCTTTTTTTAATAATTAAATTGTCATAATTTTATTTTGCATAGAAGCAGAGGATAATTAATTTATCGTTAATTTGCGAATTATAGTATAAAGAGAAGAAAAGATTTGAAAAAGGATTATATGTCTCTTTATTTTCAACTCATTATTATTAGCAAACTTTTTGTCTTCCAGAAATCTATTAAAAAAATGAACAATTTCAGGTGGCTATAAAGGATATGGTCTCGGTGCTTTAGTAGAAATCATTTGTAGTATACTTGGTGATGCACAATGGGGACCGCATGTACGAAAATGGATGTCAACAACATCTGTTGCTAATTTAGTACGAAGAAATTTTGATATAAAATTTTTTATCGATCTTTTTTTTCTTTTGTTTTGAAAAATTATATCTATTAAAATTAATTTAAAAATTGCGAATATTGTTAACGGTCAAATATCAATATTTTCAGGGACAATGTTTTATTTCTGTTAATCCGGATGGTTTTGCACCAAATTTTGAAAATCGTTTACAAGAATTCATTGATTCAATGCGAGGACTAAAACCGGTTTACTTTTAACCTACGATAGGAATTTATTTTGCTAGAAATTTCTTCTAAAATTCATTATTTCTATTAGAATTTTATTTTCGCAATAATTTGTTTTAGTTTTTACATAATGTTGTACGGTTATGAAAAATTGTTAATTTTTCCATTAATCTTAATTAACAAGGAAATTAACCTTTGATTGTTTGTTATTTGTTGAAAAAGAAAAAAGATAAGGTCATAGAAAGCATTATAGGTTGATAATAAACGAGTATTAATAGCTGGTGATCCAGAAAAAGAACACACAGCTTTGGTGGAAAAATACGGTGGTATACCGTATCATCAAAATCAAATTACTCATGCGGTATAAAAATAATTTCTTATTATATTGAATGTGTATGTGTATGATATTTAGATATTAATTGAAGTATATTTGTTAATTTATTTTCGTCATATGAATTTCAAACAAATATTTCAGGAAGAATTAGCAATGACATTGGGCGTACAAGCAATGACTGTAAAGAATGTTGCATGATTACGATATTTTCTATAAGTATGCTAATAAAAGAACTATGTGATACATTCACTTATCATATTATTTGTATGATATTTTTCGTTTTATAGTTTTTAGCAATTTCTCAAATTACCAATTTGATAAGTTAAAATGCAAAGTTTGATTCGGTTGAATAATGATAAGTTAAAATGTAAAGTTTGATCCAGTTGAATAATGAACTGCGGGAAAGTGGAAACAGTACTAAATCAAAAGATCAAGTTAGCCATAATGCTTCCTGTCACTTATTTCTTCATTTCTTAAAATTCTTTATTTTCAAAATACCTCAATTTTTTGGGATTTTAGTACAACTGTATTTTATCACCAGGCATATAAGTCAACTCTGGATACATTAAGCATTGTAGTTTATTAGTGAATGCTTCTGCAATCACGAATTCTATTTCGTTTTTTATTTCAGGTCAAAAATTTCAATTAATAAATTTGAATCAACTCATAATTTTTAAATCATTTCAGAAATTTGATCCAAAATATGTCAAAATGATGCAAAAAAAAATACATTAGATGAAGGTATCATCGAATCATAGCAGCTACTGCCAGAGCATTTTTGTTTGTATTGTTTTATGATAAGTTCAATTTCAATTATCAAATATTAGATAAAAATTATATCATTATCATAAACATTGAAAGTGTTTGCTTTTTCTTCAGCTATTACTATTTTGATTGATTTATCGTGATCATAAATCATAAATTATCTTATTTTTTCTTGCACCTAATTTTATTATTGTTTTATAATGATTTTTCAATAATTTCATGTTTCTATTCCATCAGTTGGATAATGTTGAAAATGATGAAATTTCCAATTGATAATAACTTTATCATAAGTTAACACTTTCATAATATTTTAACTTTTTTTAAATTTTATTTTATTTTTAAAATTTTAGCTTTTCCTTTTCATTGTTGATTTTTTGAATATATTTTGTTTGCACTATTAAAATTTGAAGCAATGCATTAAGCGAATTCGATAATAATGGTATATCACTTTTTTATCAATTAATATTTCGTAGCATTAATGAACGATAGATTGATAATGCAACATAAAATGGTAAGGAATCAGTTTAAGTATGATAGAATGTAGATGTTCAAATTCTCTCACTCATTGGCTTTTCGACTTTTTCGAAATTTGAAAAATGAAATTTGATGTGACTTAAAAATTCCCGTATTCAATTTACGGGAAGCGGTCAATTAAAAATGAATAATTCTTGGCAACCGATAGTTTTGTTAATGCAAAATTAAACTGCAAAAATTTAATTGTACAGTAAGTAATTGATTAAATGAGGAAAAAGAAAGACAAAAAATCATTATTACTCTATTTTGAATCATTTTAATTATTTTATTTCATTTGAATTTTCACTGATCTTAATAATTAAAATAAAATTGATTAATAATAAATAAGTAAATTATAAAGATTTTTCGATAAGTATTTGCATGGTATCAATGTGAGAATATCTAAATAGCGTAGAACACAATGCAAAATAAAATTGCCATTTGCGATGAAATTTCCGCGAATATCCAAGTTTCAGAATTTCTTCCTTATGTTCCATCCATGCGCTGAAATTTTGTTTCACTGAATTTCAAATACGATTCAAAAGTAATTCCAATAATTCGATAATCATATTGACAATTAAGTAATTGTGCACATATTTCACTAAATAAAATAACCAGTCGTAATATTTAAATTATGCTTTACAAACAAGAATTGCTTTCAAAATAGTTTTTGAAATCCGTATCTTTAGAATTTTTTAATCTCTCTAATCTTATAAAATCTGCCAACTTATCCTGATTTTATTAATATTCTTTCGAAAATTTGATTACGTATCTGTTTTTGGTTTTGGAATTTTAGATTCCATTTTTGCTTAATTCCAAATTTCACTAATTATAAACAATCATTCTGAAATTACAACTTACCAATACCACAAATCTAAAGTTGGCGTATAATGCTGCCCAATATGGATCGTTTTTGTAATTGATAATTCTGGTGGTAATGCTTCTCTAATTGCTCGTTCAGATGGCATATGTCCACCGGGAAATATATATTTCTTGATGAAATCACTTGATCGACAATATCGTTCATAATACAATTCAGGACATATTATTGCCTGATGAAAAAAATTTTTTTTACCTGAATATTTTTTAATAATTGAAAAAAATATGATCTTTACTATTTAACTTATTTAAAAGAAGAATAATAAAAACAAATGATACATAGATATATACCTGTAAACATATCTTACCACCTGGACGTAATCGATTATTTAAAGTTTCAAAAAATTGTGGTAAATATTCATGTCCAACTGCTTCAATCATTTCAATCGCAATAATTTTATCATAAATATCATTTTCTAATCTATAAAAGAAAATTATATTATCATTATTATTTATTGTTCTACTCATTTACTGATATATCTAAATAGCTTTTCAATTAGCACAATTAATAAAATTCATAAGTTTTTACAATAAATTGAAATCCTTTTTGAAAAACATTTTAACACATTATTTCATTTATCTAATTATAAAAATAATTAAACAATTTTGTTAATTTATTGTTCTAATCTTATAAATTTAATTAAAAGATTTTAAATTAATCTTTTATCAACAAATATTTTATAAAATGCATAAATTATTCAAAAATTAATTTAAGTTTAAATTAAAATTAACTAACCGATAATCTAGCAGTTTGATGTTAATATTATCCTGTAATTCATTATCTTTAATTCTTTTTTGAGCAATTTTATATTGTTCCATAGAAATTGTCAAGCCTGTCCATTTACATCCAAAACAATTGACAGCATGTACAGCACAAGCACCCCAACCACAACCAATTTCTAATATTCGATCATCGGATGCAAGATTTATTTCGTGAAATATTTGATCATATTTTCTCATTTGAGCTTCTTCTAGCAATTTGCTATCAGAATTTGTTATTGTATAAGATGGAATTGCTGAAATAAAAGAATGCCTTATTATGATGATATAATTGATTAATAGAAGAAAATAACGAATGAAAAATGGGAAAATAAAATTCAAAACATTCTTTAATTTTCAATTTATCCTTTAATACAGGTATTTAATTTGTTATTATTACTTAAAAGAATTCAATGCAATTTATATAATATATAGTATAGTACAGTATGGCAGAGTACAGTACAGTACGGTACAGTACAGTATAGTATATAGTATAGTACAGTATATAATATATAGTATTAGTACAGTGTAGTGTGGTATAGTATAGTATAATATAATAGAGCGTTAAAATTTTAAAATCTTCAAAATTTAGGCTAAAATTATATATTCATAAACTTTCATCCGCCTTTTTTTCCTTACAAACAAATGATCTTTAATTAATCAATTATTTATCACTTATATAATTAATATATAAATGTTTTTTCCTTTTTTGTATTTACCTAATAATTTCATAAATATAAACGAACAAAAACTAACGTTGAAAAATTGCGCATGAATAAGTCATCGATGGATCAAGGAATAAGCTAAACATATCATTGCCAAGATCGTAATGTTCATGAATATTTTTTGCACTACCATTTAATGAATTTGCATGATAATAATGTTGCATTAAATTAATAAATGATATTATTGATCGAATTGATTGAATTATTAAATAAATTAGGAAATTGAACAATTTTTTTAACCAACAATTTGTTTGTTGCAATTTTTTTGTTGAATTATTATAACCTGAAAAATATTAAACATTTTGAAATTAATTATTATAATTTTCTTGTTTACATTAATATATACATTTACTTTATTTGTTTTAACTAAAATTCATATAATAGCAAAGAATATTTATTTCAGTAAGTAAGAAACAAAAATATTTAAATAAACTATTATTATATTAATTGGCTAATTTGCAACAATAAAAAATATTGTTAAATTTAATTTTGTTTATTTGCATTTTAACAATATTTTTTGAATCAAACATTTTAAGAAAAATTAAATCTTTTGTTTCATTTTCAAGTTGTAATTTATTATTATTATTAATCCAACAAAAAAGAAATAAAAGAATTAATTGTTTATGGATTTCAAGGAATTTCAGGTTTTACATAATTAAGCCAATTCAGGTTTTAGTATATATAAATAGACCAACGTTTTGCACGAATAAGTAATGTTAAAAAATCCTGAATTCTTGATTGTACATCCCAATCTTCAGACATGTATGTCTCTCCAAGACCAATTTTTGGATCCAAAAGAATTCGAAAACAAAAATTAATCGGTTTGTGAATGAATAATATGACTGGAAATGTATCATCGGATTTATTTGATCTAAAAAAAAAATAATTAATCATTGTTTTGGTTTTGCAATATCATTTTTATCGATAATTTTATTATTTGCTCATTCTGTAGATTTGTTTGTTTAAGTAAAGATTAAAGAAAAGATTTGCACTAATTAAATAATTATTTAAGTAAGCTTTTCTATAAAATTTAATTTTAAGAAAATTCAAGAGGAAAATACTATATGCTTGCATAGATTTTATTAAAGTATTAATTTTTTTAATTGTTCAATTAGAGCTAATGTTAATTAATATTTTTTTAAACAATTAATTTATATAAACGAAGGAAAAATTGAAAAATAATTAAGATGAAAAATGTTAAAAAAGATTGTTTCATTTATGGAACGAACCGAATTGCTTCCTCATCGCTGTCACCAAAATGTAATTTACAATTTACGTTAGGTAAAAATACTGATAATGATTCCGGCGCATTTCTTATAATACCATTGAAATAACTAAAATTGTTGTTTAAAAAAAATACATATAATTTGATGATGTAATGGTTAATAAAGCAATGATAACCTAACAAATAATTTATATTCAATCTAACATTTACAGTAGAATTTTTCCCAATAAATTTCGATTACATACTAACAAGATATTCAGCAATAATGATTATCGACCTTGATCGTCGAAACCTATTCCAACAAATGATCAAACATCATTTCAACAACAATACCAATAATCTTCAATGAACATTAATTATATCCAACCGTTTTATTAATGGAATGAAGATAATGCGTAAAATAATTTGATATAAATCATAACCAAAATAATATTTCGGCTTTGAAATCATCCAAAAATAAAACGAAAAATGATAATTTAAATCTGAAAAATCTAAGGATTAGTATGCAAGAAAAAAATGTAAGAATGATAATTTTTATGATATTATTGCAATTTTACCGATACGAATATTTCCGTAGTAAAGAAAACGAATATTTTTAAGTAATGAAATTTTTGAGAAAAAAAATATTTGATACAAAATTTAAATGGAACAAGGAAAAACAATAGTAGTTGATGGATGTTTGGATGTGTTTACGACGAATCGTTATTCCAATTATTTGATGATATATGATGATGACCCACTAAAATCCTCCGCAACTATGAAAAATGATGAAGAAATCAAATTTGAAACTGATTGAACTTTTGCAATCAGTGAGAACACTCATTATGATAGGAGTGAAAGATGGAAATTAGCAAGGGCATGTATGATATGATATGATAATACCATGGAATTTATGAATAATTCAAATGTATTTCAATGAAAAATTAAACTTTTATCAATTAAACCTAATAAATAATATTTGTATTAAATGATTGCTATACAATGAGGACAGATAAATTTGATTAACTTTACACTAATTAAGTTTTTCAACTATTTAAGAAAAAACCTAAAGCTGTATAAATTTTCGACCATTGAAAAAATCTTTGTTTAATGACAATGATAATAATAATAATAATAATAATAATAAAATTATCCTAACAATTTCTCAAAACTTTGATTAAGTTTAAAAAAAGAACTTTTAATAAATATTATTGCAAAAGAGATAAAATGTAATGAAATTATGAAAATGATAATGAATGATAAAGAGAATTAGAACAAAGTGTATTTCAATGACAAATAAACTCTTATCAATTAAACCTAATAAATAATGTTTTTTTGTCTTTTTGTAATATTTGTGATAGTTTATTGATTTCATTCAAAAACGATAATATTGGAAATGGCAGATGAAATTAAATGAAATATTAAAAAGAATTAATTCGTTATAAAAGCATGTCAGTGACCGAAAACTTCAACAATAAGAACTACAAATTGTTGTAATTTCATTTTTTCACTCTCATCTCTAAAACTGCACTATATTGTTATTATATTTCGATTATATTATAGAATAGAAATATAATACTTGTAATGCAATCATGATAATACTGTACAAGTATGATAGATTACCCTGACAGTAATTGTAATACAGTATTATCATACTGTATTACAAGTATTGTAATGATAATCTATTTATATTATCGTATTCCGTAACAAAATTATATTACATTATAACTATGTGATGATCCATATTATTATTGTATAACATTAATAGCAATGTTATATTTCATTGTAATGCTATAACGATATTCGTATTACCGTAACACTTCTATGATAATGCTATTGCAAGTAATGATATTCATATCCGTACTCTCTCTGTAATTTATGTAGTAATATTATATTACTGAATAAGTGCATTAATGTCATTCATATCTACATTATCTCACTCTCCACAATAATGTAATAATATATTACAATTATCATGATAATATTTATAGGATTTGTTGAATGCAACACTGTTATAGCTATAAAATTTGTAATATATTATTAGATTGATGCCTCAAACAAAAAATATTACTGTATTGGAATACCCAAAATTTTGTTGTTTCCTTTCGGAATAAGAATTTAATCAAGAAAATTTTGCTTCATAAAGTTTAATTACTAAAAATATTTGCATATTATACTAAATATGCTTTAAATTAAATTTCATATTATTTCTTTTTTTATTTTAATTTCAGTTTAAATGACGAATATTCTAAAATGCTGAAGTTATTTTTACCTTTTGTGAATGGATATCCACAACTAAAAATAAGATGATATAATAGAAATATGGCAAGAAATTGGTACTGAAAGATGTTACTTTTTATATTGCATTATTATTATTATGTTAGTCATATTTCTAATTTAAGGATCAAATGTGATCAAATTTAAATATTTTATTTTTATGTTATTTGTATTAAAGTTTAAGTATTGGAATGGTGATATGTTCAATTTGAGAAAAAAGAATTTCAAATTTTAAATATGGTTAAAAATGGTAACGCATAGATTAAAACATAAGAAAAGTTTTTTATAGATTGCATGATTAAAATTACACCACCATAATGAAAATCATTATAATTAGGAAATTATTAAGGGAATAATCAAGTTAATTATTAAGAGGATAATCAAGTTATAATAAGAATGAAAAAAATGAATTCACAGATGGACCAAATTTTGAATAAACATCATTACAATCGGTCACAAAAAAATTAGCATAATGCCTACTACCTAAGTTGCTGTTATCGAACATATATACATATGCCGAATAATGAAATTGGGTGAACAATGAATCAATTTAAATTTGGAATCAAAATTTGTACATTCACAACCGGTTTGAATATTTTGTTCACCACGATCATTATATCCTGATAATTATTACAATCAACCATTTAAAACAATTTCATTGCAATACTAGTTTATCAGTAATTCATCCCAGTATAATCTTTTCTTCAAATTGATTTCGTATTAATTGCAGAGGAATAGATGTTGTTATCAGAAATATTATCAGTTTATTAGTAAATGTTTCTATAATATCTATTGATGTAATTAAGTATTATCATTTATGATTAGACAATAAACGCCAAAATACAAAGCGAACATTTAACAAGAAAAGAAACGATAAAAGAAAATTTTTTTAATTCAATTAAAATTAATTTTTTTTCATTTCATGTTTGCGGTGGCATTAATCATGTAATTATTTAATATCATTTGAAATTTTATTCGCACCATACAAAGAATGCGATCGTTTCTTCTTAACCTTGTTTCTTGACAGTTTGTTACTCACCTTATTTCTTGGCAATTTGTTATTTTGATGATACGGAGGAGGAAAATACTTAATTAAATAATTTACTTAATTTAATTCAAAATGAAGTTCTGATATAGTATAATTCATTTTGCTAACATAAATCCATTAGAAATAAAACGGAAAAATGGTGAACATAATTCAACAAATTCTTACATTCATAAATAAAGTAAATATACTTTAATGGAATTTATTTATTCCTTTGCTCGAAAATAATTTTTCTCAATATATGTATATAAAAACAATTGATTTGAAATTAATATAGCAATCATATTTATGGCATAAGCATGATTGTATAAGTATTATTATTTATATTTTATGGTTCTTTTATTTATGCATATAAAAATGATTCTTTTGTTTCTTTTAAATTATTAAATTGAAATTTCATAATTAGGTCTTTTTTCTATTCAGAGCAATATTGAAATTTTCCGCTGCTATATTTATTTTATTAAATCCAAAATTCTTTTCCATTTTCTGAATTATCATCACATTGTTTATTGTTGAATAGTATGCTATAATTAATTTCTTGTACATATTTATACCTATAAATCATAATAATATGTCAAGTTTCATGATTTCCATATATAAACATTATAAAAAAATTGTTTATCATATTGACACAATAAACAAATTGATCACATGATAATATGTTTATCATGTTAATTAATACATTCATTCATTACAGTAGTATGATCAGGCTTATCATATATGTTTAAGCAATGGATATTGTATTCTATAAATCATATCATAAGTTGATAAAATTGTCATAATTAAAACTTAATGAATGAAATGAATTATCTTTTGAGAAATACCAGTCATATAGCTTTGCCAAAATAGCCATTATCAATAAATTATTCTGATAAATCTAACAATTTCGGGGTTGTAAATTATCACCTTATTATCATGGTTTAATCATTAATTAATTGCTTATGCTATCTTCTTGAATTGATTAACAAAAATATACTTTGTATAAAATATTCATAAATCGTATACACATGCATAATATATTCATATAATTTGCTTAACAGGTTTTTAAAAAGCTCCTGTACATTTACTTTATTTTATCTTTGTCTATTTTTCAATTTTATTTTAAATCTTTAGCAATTGAAATTATTATATTTCATCTAACACATATAATATTAATAATAATAGTATTAGCGATACTATTTTTCTTTTCCCTTCCTTTGTTTTGGTATGTTTTGAAAAAAGTCAATACATTCTTTATCATTCTTATCATTATTACTGTGACTATTATTCAGTAATTGATTGAAATTGTAAATGTTCCGAATGAGCTTCACTGATAATCTCTGATTTCTGTGAATTTTCTACATTCCATCTCTCTTCATCCCATATTCCTGATTTGTCCTCCTAAAATAGCAAATAAGTTATGCAGCGGTACCATTAATCTATCATTTGGTTAGATTATTGATAACGTGATAGGGGCAAAAAAGTGCGCTTAATTTGTTGTACTTTTGAAAAAATAAATTAAAATAAAGGATAGCATACCATCGTTGGATAATGTTGCAAAATATTATTGGTCTCTTCGAATTCATTTGAATCTGACCATATGAAACTTTCATCGGTTAATATAGCTGAAGTATCCGCTGATGTAATATGAGCCAAATTACTGAAAATTCTTAATTTTATTGTTTTTAATGTAAAAAGTGTGTAAAATAAAGATAGAGAATACACTACAATGAAAATTATACAATTTTTAACCGATTTTAATTAACACCTGAAATATCCTTTCTTATAATAAATAGGATAATTAAAATACTGCAAATAAATAGCATCAAATCCGGAAAAATATCAATCATACTATAATTTCATTTCATCCGTTTCTTGTTTACTGTTTTGTTCAGTTTTTTCGACTTTTTGCATTTCCGATTTATCATTATTTCCATCTACCGTACATTCTATCTTTTTTTGCTTTTTAGTTTCTTTAACTTTTTGTAAAGCGCGTAATTGTTCTTCATAATATCTATAAATTAATAAAATTCTGCTATTTCAAAAATAAACTATTTTACATTTCACATATTAATCTAACAATCAATGAATAATAAATGTTTTACAAATTTTGCAAGATTTAAACTATAAAATATAATAATAGTATAATAGACAATATTAAAATCTTATTGTGTATACTACAAGAGATATTGTAGCATTCCTCTCTCCTTTCCCGATTCCGATGATACGATGCAATTTTTACTGATTATTCTCGAAAATGGCCTATTATATATATCTCAAGAATGGTTAGTTTCAAATCATTTATCTATTATCAGTTGATAAAAACATAAGAAATTTAAGAACTCATGTAAAAAGAGTATGTGCAAATGAATGGAAAGTGAAATTTAAATGAACGATATATGTATGCAGAAATAACTTAGTAAGAAATAACGACTCAAATATGAAATAAGAAAAGAATTTAACAAAAGGGAACCTTCCACCCATTTCCCAATCGTATGGATCGTCTGTCAAATAATGTTTCCGTTCACAAATTTCACGTAATTTACGTGTAATTAATGCATAGTTTGGTCGACCAGAAAAATTTAAATGTCGAATATGATCAAAAATAGTGTAAAATTCATGTGGACAATTTTTTAACAAATTTTCCTCACTTTGTAGCTGAAAGAATAATGCTTGTTATATGAAAAAGAAACGAAGTAACAAAAAGAACAGTTAAAAATGAAGAGGGAAAAGAAGTTAGAAAAATGATAATCATATCATAATTTAGTAATATTTCCATTCAAAACATTACTTCTATATAATTTTGTTAAAAAATTTTGAATTTTAAATTAATATTTAAACTTATCAATAATATAATATTTAAACTAATATTTAAACTTATCATATTATTATCAATATTTAAACTTATCATATCACTATTACTATTTAAACTTATATTATTAATATTTAAACTTATCACTATTAGTATTTAAACTTATCAATTATTCACATCTTTTTTAATGTCTAATTTTCAATTGCTTGCATATCGTACGTTAAGAAATCAAAAATAAAAATGATCAAAATTCTTTGTTTTAAAATAATTTATTCAAACTGCAAATTCAAAAATTAATTCACTTATTTCTTTTTTTATCATTAATTCTTAATTTCTTTTCTTTTGATATTAATTAAAAAATATAAATGAAATAATTTCTTTTGATATAAATTATATGACAAAATAAAAGGAAATATCAAAATTATCAAAAAAAACGATCCATTCTCTTTGAAAATAATTAACGAATCATTGTTTCAATTTTTTCCATTACTATAAAATAAACATATTTATAGTTTAAGAGAAGAAAATGAACTTTTAGTGAGAGAAGATTTTTGTAAGAGGAAGATCGCCATGGTAATTGACCAACGATAAATTCAATTAACATATATAGAAATGACCATAAATCATCACGTCTGCCTAAAATATTGTTTTAATAATTTATTATTCATATTGTAAATTCATTAGTTAACTTATTATACTGTAAATATCTGAATTACAGTATTAAAGATCAAATTTTACAAGAGGTAAAAAAATATAGTGAAATAATTAGAAAGAAAGTATAAATTTGGCAATAAAACAAAAAGAATAATTAGAAAGATTTTGATGAATAATTAAAAATAATGTATTTCGGTAAATTTGAAGAAATTATTTTAGTTTTTTTGGAAATTTTTAGAATTATTTCGAAAATTAAAATTTCTAAAAAAATTTTTTTATTGCAAATTTTTATAATTAGCAAAAATTTTTGATGAATAATTTGAATAAATTTGAATGCTTTTTGTTTTTTTAACTTACCTTGATCTTTTCTCATATGTACAAAAATGGAGCAATATCGATCAGTACCCAAATATGGTGCTTTACGTCTTGGAATACGATGATGCAAATTTCCATCTGAACCTCTCGTTAACTAAATAATAAATGATAAATGGTTTAATATTTGATATAATTAAGAATATTTAGCATAATTTATTAGAGAGAGAGAGGCAGAGAAAAAAAGGATAAAAAGAAAAACATGTAATTTTGATTAATTTAGTAAATCAATTATTTTTTAGAAGTTCGAAATTAATGAAATTGTTTTATGCTATGCAATAGAATTTTATCATTTTTATCATTTATCATAACTTATCAAATGAACTTAATGAAATAATTTCATGTTTTCCTTTAAATCATTTATTTATCAAATATAATTGACAGTTATCTTTTTACAAATAATAAAAAAATATGATTCATCGTATTTTACAAAATTTTTTCATAAAAATTTTCAATTTTTTAAAAAGACAAGAATTTTTGAAACATTTAAAATATACATAAAATCGTGCAAATCCAAAATCAATCATATGAACTATACGGCATAAATTTCCTTCACCAATTGCAAAATTTGATCCTTTTATATCACGATGAATGATTCCAATACTGTGTAAATCTTCTATTGCCTAAAATACGATTGCCTCAGGTTAAATTGAAATTGTCTTTTGAATTAATATTATAGAAACCGAAAAAACCTTGATATCCAGCAATCGCTGTAAATATGAGTGATTTATAACTACAGTCATGAGTACTGTTATTTGGATCGACACCATTTGCTAACAAAAACCGAACTACGCCTTTAAGATCTGACCAACTCGCTTGATTCAGAAGTGACATAATGGAAAAATCAAAAATGTGATAACGATAAGTAATGATAATAGTTTATTGAGTGAAAAAATTGTAATAAATATTTATGGTACCTCAAGACATTGAATACCAAGACGTATTGCCGTAGAAAGAGTAAATCGTTGTGAAGGATTTTGACGTCGAAGCCCTGAAAGTGGTCGTCCAACAATTGACATAACAATTATATTACAGTCAGGTGATGATCGACCAGCTAAATATAGGCGACAAAAATGTGGTGACCATTGCATACGACGCAATACTAATGCCTTAAACATATATATACATTCAAGATTGAATTTATTTTTTGTACAAAATTTCCAATGAAATGATAAATAAGAAAATTTCAACTAAAATAATAAACAAAAAAGTTTCCAATAGAGCAGTAAACAAAAAAAAAGGTAAAAACAATAATAATAATAAAGTAAAAATTCTTATTTTGTTAAATAAAAATTTCGTTGATTTTAATTAATTATAAAAAATAGAATATTTAAAAATTAAATTTTTAAGGAATTTCAATTTGAACCTCAGCAGCAAGTGTTTCAGAATAATTCCGGTTTGTATCTACCGTTTCCGCTTTCATTGCAGCACGTATTCCCACATTTTCATCGTTGATTTTTTCTACTTCATAAACAATACCACAACCACCACTACCAATTTCTCTAATTATCTGTAAATTATTGAAAATTTTTCATCCATTCATTAAAAAAACGGAAAATTAATTCAAATCTTTAGTTAAGCAGAAAAAAACAAAAAGGAGGAGAGATTAATTAATAATGATAATGATATTAACCTTCCAGGAATTGTTGATAATTTCATCAGTTTTAAATGATGGTTTCGGGATACTTGACGATGATGAACTTGACAATGACATTATTTGTTGATATAAAAATGATTGTTTATGAACGAAAAAATTAAACTACCGTTTAATTGGTAAGACAGAAATGAAAATGAATATATTTCAATTAATATTATTATTTTATATTTAATCAATATTTCTGCAATATGGAAAAAAGAGATTAAGCTTTAATGATTGTGAAAAAAAAGCAAAATAAAAATTTAATTACGATACCAGTTTTATCGATTATTGTTTCAATTACTGAAAAAAAAAGATGATGTAATTAATTAATTTTATCTTTTTTAAAAATTTCAAACTTTGAAATTTTTTAAAAACTTACTTTATATTTTAATAGTAATAATGGTTATTTAATTATTTAATGGTTATTTAATGGTATTTTATTTTTCACTTCTATAATTGTTATAAAGGTGACAGAGAAAGGAACAAATTCAAGTTAAGTAATTATTTTATATTATGGAAACTATTAAATTGTTT